TCTTTCTTTCTTTCTTTCTTTCTTTCTTTCTTTCTTTCTTTCTTTCTTTCTTTCTTTCATTTATTCATTCATTCATTCATTTTTTTTTTTATTCTGGGGAAATCCCTGAAGGCTGGTTGGGAGGGAGAGTCGACCTAGGCGGTGTGTGCCTGTGGATGGGAACGGAGCCTCTTGAACCGGAGTAAGGAAACAACAAAGCTGGTGCTCCCCCTGGGCGAGTTTGGGGCGGCAAAGCAGGGTCCCCCGAGGGCTTCTCCAGCCCCCCCTTTCCCGGGGAAAGAGCTGGAAACAGGAAGCTCCTGGCCAGCCTGGATCTGCGGGCGCTTAAACAATGCCCGGGATTTCCAGCGCCCGGCCGCCGGCCGCCACCTTCCCCGGAGCAATTATGGTCCACCGGCCGTTCTTCAGATGTGTCGGGGTTACACCTCCCAGGATCCTCAGCCAAGACACAAGAGGGTGTTTTCGGAGTCTTGGGGGGAAGTCGAGAAAATCCGACGTTTTTATCAGTCGGCTTGACCAGGAGGTTGAGGAACTTGAGAAGGGGATGAAGCATTCGGTTGGAAGGGACCCTGAAGGCTTTCTAGTCCAACCCTCTGCCCAGCACAGGAATCCTCGTACCATCCTGGGCCAATCTTTTCTTGAAAATTTCCAGTGATGGAGCACCCATGACTCCAGGAAGCGGGCTGTTCCACTGCTGAATAGCTCGCACAGGCAGGAAACATCGTCGTGTTGCAAAATGCACTTAAAAGAAAAATCATCCCAGAGGATCCTAGATAGATACTGTGCAATTTTTACTATTATCAGCTGGAATCAGTCTAGTGCAGGATGAAGTCATCTTCACTGAAGGTTACTGACTGTAATCTATGCTGGTCTAGCATGGTTGGGAGATAGATGTTTTTTTTTAATTTCCTAGTTCACAGCGGAGAGGGAGTGACTGGTCCAAAGTCACCCATCCAGCTTCTGTGCCTTTGGTTGGATTAGAACTCTGGTCTTCCCACTCCTAGTTCACCACCTTAAATGTTACACCACAGTGGCATCAACTGTCCCTCCCCTCCCTCCCTCTTTCTCTTTCTCACAAATATATCCAATGCTTCCCTTTGAAGACAGATTGGGGAATGGCCTAGTTAAAGCTGAGCTGTTCCAAAGATTGTGGTGCCATGCAAGCTCTTCCCAATGGAAGCAAGAGGACTTTGTTCAAGTAAAACAGGGATTAAGCCCAAATCGTTGTGGGCTTGAGCCCAGCATGACGTGAAAGTGATGAGTCACCTCACATTTGGGTCACAAATTACACTGAATCATCCCATGGCTTGTGATTATGGTTGGATGTGATGTGTGTACCTACCAATTATAGCTTAGTGTTATATGCATATCAGACCAACACAAAAAGTTAGTTTTGCATTACCTGCAAATGGAGGCTGATGTTCAAAAGTATACTGCTACTGCATATAAAAAACATACAAAGGTTCTGTTGATGTATCAGTAGCAATTAATATTATATTCCATCAAGTCGGTCTCAACTCTTATTGACCACATAGATAAATTCTCTCCAGGATGATCTGTCTTCAACCTGTGTTTTTAGGTCTCTCAGTGGTGCATTCATTGCTGTTGTTATCAAGTCCATCCATCTGGCTGTTGGACATCCTCTTCTTCTCTTTCCTTCTGCTCTTCCCAGCATTAGAGACTTTTCAAGAGAATCAATTATTATATTTTATATAATTTGCTCTCTAAAACTTTTGCTGTGATCCCAGGATTACTTTTTCTCCTGGTTCTAAATGTAACACTTAAGATGGTTCAGCCACCTTGATCATTTGCTGGAATAGAAAGATGGGGTGTAAAATGAATAAACAAGCAAAACAGTGGTTCACACAGCCATAGGTTATTCTCTTACATTACAGAGGAAATCTTTGCAGTTGTGAATACAAGCAGTTTGGCGACAATGATGCCAGTCTCAAAAAGCTAAGCAAGGTTAGAGCTGGTTAGTGCTAGATGGGAGATCACCAGGGAATGCCAAAAATGTAGGCTAAACAGTTGAGATGAAAGTCATGCTAAAAGAAAGCAACAGTAATCCCCTTCTGTACTGTTGCCAAAGAAAACTTTATTGATCTGCCCAGAAATTACTGGGAGCCACCTAGCAGGGTTGGCTGATTAAAGAATAAGCTGAGCAGAGTCAAAACTGGTCAGAACTTGGATGGGAGACCAGCAGGACATCAGAGGGGTGAGACTTAAGTCGAAAGAGCATCTCAAAACAAGACAATTGTGAACCACTTCCATACTGTTGCCAAGCTATTTTCATGGGCATGTCCATAAATTCACCAGGAGTTAAGTTTGACTCAAGGGAGACTTTCCTGAGCAAATGATTCGAAAGAATGCTTGATAGTCTTGAAGACCTGCAGATAACATTCCCCCTCCATTTTAATTAGTTTGCTACAAACCTCCAGAGTAACCCCCACCCAACCCTGCAGTTCACTCAGGACACAATGAAGAAGCCATCCATGAAAATGTCTAGAGAAAGGGTGAAGTTTTGTGTTGAAATCTTCCTCTCCCTCTCCTTCTTCGTCATCATCGTCATCTAAGATAATAACAGATCCTGTGGGACTTCCAAATACAAACTGATCCACATTTAACCCATAATAAGCCAGACATAATTGTAGTTGAAAAGAAACAAACATTGCAGTAGCTGCAGTTAGAAGAGAAAGAACTAGAAAAAAAAGGGGAATATAAAGACCTTTAAATAGAGATGGAACAATATGAAAGAAGAAGGTTATAGTGATGCCATACCAAAAGATCTGGACGAGCATTTGAACACAATAGAAATGGACAGAATCTCAACTCATTAGTTGCAAAAAGTTGCATTACTTGGAACAGTGCATATATTATGACAATATCTTTAACTATCCTAGATCCTTGGGAAGGATCTGTAGGTCAAAATCACCAAATCCAGTCAGAAAATTTGGTAAATTGTGTATAAATCACAGTAATAACAACTATTTCTTCAGTATGCCTTGAATGCCTATTAACTCCAGTTCAGCATGTAAACAGCTCCAAAGCCACTCAGACAACCTTTCCTTTAAAACATCCACCCCTATCTCTTCCCTGTCTCATAAACATTAGCTTGAAATCTCTTTTCAAATCACAGGAGGCGTGTTCAAATGCAGCAACATTTGGGTTTGGTGGAACAATACTATTTTGGTGTAACCCTAGAACCAGAATAGTGCTAAATGCATGCCCAAATGGAGCTGAAAATCACAAAACATTTGTGCAGAACCAAAGCAAGTTTCGACAGATGACTAGATGCGCTTCAAAATCTCCTACATGAGAGCCATAAAAAGCATCTTTGAGATGCTATGCATTATAAGAGGGGAAATAAAAATCCATTCCTAAGACACAGGCTGTCTTAAGGCAAAAGAAGGAGAATCTACCTCTTGGGAAAACAGTGGAAAGTACCTTGGCTGAACAGCAGTAATCCAAATATTTTGAGTGAATTTCAGAAGATAAATTGATTTTCCTTTAGAAATCGCTCTAAACTTACCTTCTTTCCAGCCCACTCCAAGTTAAAGAACGCAATTGGTTGATGCTTTCCCCCTCTGACTGGTGAAATTTGTTGGGAGGGTCAACAAAGCCAAGAGTATCCATCTTAACTTGTTCTTTGTTGAAACTGTAAGGCAGAACCATTTCCCACCTACTTCATCGAAGCAGAATTGGCTCTTAGACTCACAACATTTCTCATTAGGCTACCTCAAGGCTTATCAAAATATAACTCTTTATCAGGTCTGTCTAAACCACCCATGAGGGAGTCGATCAGTCCTTCTCAGGTAGGGTTACCTGGTATCTGAACAAGCAAAGGAGGACAGGGTCAACCGGAAAGGCAGACAAATGAGGGGAAAGGAGGACATGCTGTTTCATTTTCTTGGCATCCAGGACAAAAATTACAATGAAAAACTGCCAAACAAACAAACAAAAAGTACTTAGGCCTACATATACATGAAATTATTTTTTCCAGCATCAGAAAGACTGTTTTTTTCAATGGCAGGAATGTGCTAGAGTTGGTTAGGAGTCCAAAGCCTTCCGTGTGTAACTGATTAAGATCTTGTCAATTTCAGGCAGCAGAGCCAGTTGGCCAGAAAGTTGCTCAGGAAGAGACAGATACTCAAAGAGCCAGACTATATTTGGTTTTAAGGGTATGCATGCCAGATGGAGGACATAAGGATGAAAAAGAGGGTATTTCCTCCTTTTGCTTGATGTCTGGTAACCCTATTCTCAGGTAGTATGTATGTATGTATGTATGTATGTGTGTATATATATATAAATATACAGTATATATATATATATATATATGAATGAAATAGTTTGTCATTTTTCAAATTACAGAATTATAAAATAGTTCTGTGCTAAACATTTTCAACAGTGTTGACTTTTCTTTCTCTTTTGGTGGATTGAAGTAGGCAAACCTGTACTTCCAGATTTTG